TCGATTAATTACATCAGTCTACTCAATATTGTGTCATATTATTGCATTTCAAAAGCAACTTAGTTCTTGAGAATAGGATTTTGCAGTAAATAGAAATATAGGCGCAATAACATCATTTTAAATATTGCATAAGGTATAAATTAACCAAAATATGAATTTCTTTCCCCATAGACCAGATAATACAATTATGTAGGTACAATCAATGCAATACCTACCTTCTATTTACTGATCATTAAGTATCATAGGATATTATGTAAGGGAATTTACTAAAAAACCATCTATACAACAAGTCATACATAATAACTTCGACTATCTATCTATCTTCTACGCCGCCGAGGCTCGTGGGTTCGATTTCCACCGGACACAAATATTTATAAAGTAAATTTTCAAATATTCGTGTTTTGTCTGAGCACTCCGGCTGATAAAAGACCACCGACTGGACCGAAACGGTCGCGAAACCGCGATGTAATAAGAAGTAGGTAAGTGCGAAATCCTTTCTATATATGTAATTAAAGTTAAAATGTCGCACTTAAGTTTAAACAGTTTAAAGGACACCAAAACGTCCAACGACCTGATGAACGCTGGTGCCAGTGCTTTTCAACCACCTACTGCATGAAGCAGGCCTTTGAAATAGTTGTGTAACGACAGCCGTCTAAGTGACCATAGACAGCAACCGGGACCGACGGCTGAACATGGCTCCAAAGCACGGAACCATCTTGCTTCTCGGACAATCACGTGATTCAGCCTGTGTGGTGTCCTGACCAGTCTAGGAACATATTCAAAAAGTGATAAATATCAACTTTGTGAGCGAAAGGAATTGAACAGGCAGTCGGACTAGCCATTGCGCCACGTCGGCTGACATCCGATGTCACCCGATCAGCTGAGACTGACATTAATTTTCAATGAAACTCGAACAAAATCAGGGTTTCCCAAAATCCATAGTAAAAGTTGTTCAATTTCATAATCTGATCATGCCTGCAAAGTTTTCGGTACAGACCGTCTTTACATAGTATAGGTTTGTAACTATGGCGATAGAAAAAGTATCGACGTTTTGTATTACTTGGGTCACTGCACTAGCTTGGGTTGAGTGTGGCTCGATACTTCAAGTTAAAATTATCGTTTTTTCATTGAATATCGACTGGAAATGACCATCATTGAATAAGTAGAACAATCCCAAACTAAGATTCTAATCTTACTTAGCAAGCTATTTATTGTTTTTAAAGGCATCAATAAACTAAGATCGTTAATTGTTACCTATTTTGGTGGAATATTATAATCTTTATTTGTAAATTAACGATACTATGATTAACACCATTGTTCGACACAAAATAATAACAAAAGGAACAAAATACAATTATTTTATTGTAGATCCGCCTACAAAAAAACTCCACATCAGACATTTTGTACGACTTACTGGCAACACTTATGTACAATTTTCAATCGCTAATTTTATATATTATTTAGTGATATTGTACTGGAGGAATACTTTCAGATGAAAAGTGATATTGTTCTGTTGTAAATTTGTATTTTTACATATTTTTAAAGGCATTATTATCTCTACAATTCGGCTTTTTATCGGAGCTCATTTGACATGCGCGACTGGACTCGTTCTAGTAAAAGATCTGACAGCAACTGGTTTTTGTAGTAAGATAAGCCCAAGTGGGCATAGGCCGTGACAGAGGGGAAGCTCTTCGTATAGCGTCTCCATACCTAGCCTTCCTCCAAGGGTCGAAGTATGAAAAAAAATATATAAAATATCCTCCTCCCTAAAAAGTATTGGCCGGCCATGTCAGTTTGTATGAGAGGAACAAAATTTTTTTCGAATTTCGACCTATGTTTCTTAGGAAAAGTTGTTCAGTTTCATGGGTTCGTTTACCCCTTAAAATATTTAAAGTTATCTTTTTTACATTCCATGGAAAAAAAATTGGACCTCCTCCTATACAGGGTGTTAGGGACGGTGTACCGAAAACTTTGCAGGCATGATCAGACCATCAAACTGAACAACTTTTACTATGGTGGTGAAACGAAAAAATTTCGACCTCCCATACAAAATTCACGATCAGCTGACTGACTTTGTATGGGAGGTCGGAATTTTTTTTCGTATCCCACCATTGGCTCCATAGTAAAAGTTGTTCAGTTTCATGGTCTGACCACGCCTGCAAAGTTTTCGTTACACCGTCCCTAACACCCCGTATAAAAATGGTCTTGCCGATAGCTGACCGAGTAATTTGTAGGGAAGTAATTTTTTTTTCATTTTTCGATCTATTTTCCTTGGGGAAAGTTGTTCATTTTCATGGACTGGTTCACCTTTCGAAATAATTCCAGTGGTTTTTTTACATCTTACTTGACTTATTTATCTACCGCAACGCAATATCGATTTCCGTGCAAACTTATTTCAAGTATGGTGGTAACCCCCCCCTTTTAGGGGTTAATTTTTTTAGCCTATAACCTGGTCGGTGATCTTCCCGACATTTTGGTATAATTTGCATCAAAATCGGTTCAGTAGTTTTTGCGTGATGCTTCCTCATACAAACAGATAAACAGATAAACAGAGAAACAGATAAACAGACAAACAGATAAACAGAAAAAAATTCTAAAAATTGCTGAAACGTGTTCTGTTATCAATTTCAAGTATCACCAAACACTTTTTTTTGGAAAATCTTCTATGTACAGACTTTCGACCTTCTACAACTTTATTATATGTATAGAAAATTAGCGGTAGTCGTTGGATTTACGTGCAATCAGAACCTGGAAAATGTCATATTACCTGTAATAATGAACCAAATAGTTCCGATGTTATTTTTTTTGGAACCGGTATTTTAAACATTCCAAAAACCTGTAAAGCGTTTTATAAGACACAACAGTTTATTCCTGCCTACGAAATACCTATTGTTAATGTGACCGGCGTAGTTTCAGATCTTAATATAATTATGGATGATTGCTGCGAAAAATCTAAACTTAATAAAACGTTAAGTAAATTACCTTTTAATAAATTAGATAATATTAATAATTTAGATTCCCTTGTTCATGCAAGCGTTACTTTAGATTCTTTTGAGAAGGAATTAGATAAATTAGAAAACCCCTCTCACTTTCAAAATACGGTATTCACTACATGTCATTGAGTTATGTTTTTACTGTTATATTCTTTGTTTACCTACTTTACAGAAGCAGAAACATGTTTTGTAAAAAGAATACATCTGGCTGTTGCATACAGATTTTCAATCAATGTAATAATAACAAAACCACTAGAGAAAAGTCTGTCATGCCTATGGTAATAGTTCAAGATAAAAATGTAGATATTTCAGAATCTTCTTCAGATGAGAATGACACTAGAGTCACTCCTTCTCCAGTCAAAAGAAACATCTTTATTGCCAGCAAAAGCCATGAACAGTGAAACTTAGTTTTAATTACTTTTAAGGTTACCTTTTTATATAACTTTGTATTCTTTTAGTCAAACGCTTGTCCAAGCCCATTAGAGTCAAATCTCTCATCACTTTGAGATGTGATGATCGATCTTAACGGGGGGGTTGTTATATCATAATTATATAGAGTACATACGCATCATAAAACGCTGAATGCGTATACCTATTGCATTGTCGTCAATGCAATAGGAAACCGCTGTTTTCATAAAAGCTAATAAATCATCGCAAATTCAGATTGACTTGGACACCCGTCGGGCGCACACCTCTTTATTATATTTCCCGTGTTTTTCTTTAAAATATAATTTCAGCTAAATAAAATTCTTTTTTTTAAAAAGTAAATCCTGACCCATCCCGTAATAGTACCCTGACCTTAGCAGTCTCGGCGTCAGTGACTTGCATAGGGCCTTAGTGACTTAGTGTGATATAATAGATGGAAGGTGCCCTGACCTTAGCAGTCTCGGCGTCAGTGACTTGCATAGGGCCTTAGTGACTTAGTGTGACATGATAAATGGAAGGTACCCTGACCTTAGCAGTCTCTGACAGGCTACAATTCTACAGGCGAAATTCAATGTACATTGCGTAGCTAATATTGACAAACCGACTACGCAATGTACATTCATCGAATTTCACCTGTACAATTGTAGCCTGTAGTTTCGTTGCATAGGTCACTGGATACCGTTATTCATGTACCGCGCAGATACCGCTCTGGTTTTAATAGGGCCTTAGTGACTTAGTGTGATATGATAAATGGAATATAGGGCCTTAGTGTGATGTTTATGTGAATGGAAGGTACCCTGACCTTAGCAGTCTCGGCGTCCGGACAGACCACGTGCTGGTAGTTGATGTTGATGTTGATGTGACTTGCATAGGGCCTTAGTGACTTAGTGTGATATGATAAATGGAAGGTACCCTGACCTTAGCAGTCTCTGACAGGCTACAATTCTACAGGCGAAATTCGATGTACATTGCGTAGCTAATATTGACAAACCGACTACGCAATGTACATCGAATTTCACCTGTACAATTGTAGCCTGTAGTTTCGTTGCATAGGCCACTGGATACCGTTATTCATGTACCGCGCAGATACCGCTCTGGTTTGAGTAGAGCCTTAGTGACTTAGTGTGATATGATAAATGGAATATAGGGCCTTAGTGTGATGTTTATGTAAATGGAAGGTACCCTGACCTTAGCAGTCTCGGCATCCGGACAGACGACATGCTGGTAGTTGATGTTGATGTAGTCGGTGCCGCTGCAGATGGTCAGTGACTTGCATAGGGCCTTAGTGACTTAGTGTGACATGATAAATGGAAGGTACCCTGACCTTAGCAGTCTCGGCGTCCGGACAGACGACATGCTGGTAGTTGATGTTGATGTAGTCGGTGCCGCTGCAGATGGTCAGCGACTTCTCCTCGAGGGACTCGCCGTGCTTGTTCACCAGGTTCGTCAGCAGCTTCTGGTCCTGAATATACAGATACGGTTGTAATCTCATGTGAACGTACTACTTTGTCTAACAACCTGTATATTGTTCTCATAAATGAAAATGAGATAATCGTAAGCGTCGGCAAGCGGCTCAGATCGGCGCCGGTAGCTCAGTTGGCAGAGCAGTGGAACGGTACCTCACAGCCCCGGGTTCAAATCCCGGTCGACGCTTTAGAAACCTCATTTTCAATTATGAGAACAGGGTGTTAGGAAAAGTAGTACTACTGCTACAGCCACAACAGTCCACAGCTGGACATGGGCCTCCCCCTAGTTGGGCTCATCACGCTTGGCAGGCGGATTTGCGAGCGCAGTGCATATTCACAGGGAACGCTGCTGCCCATACTCGGATCCATACCTTAGTCGCCTTTTACGACACCCACGGTTTGAAATGGGGTTATGCTATTCCAAGCCAAGACCAAACGACAATTCATCCTTATTGGTTGATTTTGACGATACCCACGGGTAGATATATATATAGGGTGATGCGTTTCTGAATTGGCATTGCATGTAGTTGCCGTAGCCATACTGTAAGACAGGATCATACCTTAGGTAATCCGCCTGATCGTATGTCGCTCACTTGACACAGCTCGATGACGTCACCATCCTGAAACAAAATAGTAATTAATATTAGGCTTAGGTATTTTCTATGCAGATTGCAGGTACTGTACGTGTAGCAATAGATACGGCGTTACGTTTTAAATAGTTCTAATCTCATAGGATCTCAAAGAACAATCGCGGTGCTGAGACGAGTCTAAAGACATCTCACAGGTCAAGATCCGCCCAGACCAGAAGTCTGGGCTGTAGCCCGTGAAAACGAATTTCTTGTCTACATACATACCCACATACATACACACATACCTAATCTCGAAAAACATAACCCTCCTTCTGAGGCAGTCGGGAACAAGTAGATGTGTTAAAAGACAAAAAACCCGACTGCGGTAATTTTAAAGTAGTATTTTGCTGTAAAAATCCCTTACGTACAACCCTTACGTACAACTGGAATCTCGGGAAAACTCAAGGTAACTAAGAAGATGGTTGTCACAAACGTCACAGATATTTCTTGGATTAAAATTGGCTCAGAATCATATGACGTTCTTGTATCATTTTTTTCTGTTTTGATATACATAAACTTTGAGATTTTTGACAGCTACAACCCTGACTATGTAATGTGACAATCGCGAAAATCCTAAATAGGGTCGAGTAAACCTTCTGAAACTTAGGACATGTGGAAATAGTTTACCCAAGGGCTGGTGTATTAAACCTTACCTTGTGACCTAAGTCTTACATAAGTGCATAATATGAGCTTGTGCTACCAGCTCGACACATCCATTTAAACTTTTCCGATCAGAGTCACATAGTTGTAGGTACCTGTGCTCACATACTCAACTAAACTACGTAAGTGAAGGTAGAAACTCGATTTGACAAGTGGATGTACTTCACAAACAAATTGGAACCTCTTGGCTTCCTTACGAAACTTCCTTACTTTAGTTTCAAGAAAATTTCCTAAATACTTAGGGCGAAAAAGGGGTGCGATTTTACTAGTGATAAATACAGAAAACTCAGGGAGGGGCTGGTGATATGATAAAGAACAACTTTTTCTAAGGAAAAAAGTCTAAATATGAATAAAAATATTAGGTCCTCCATTGCTATCTCATTAGAGTTGTTCACATTTTCGCACGCTTTCATTAGAATAGAATCATGTCCGTAATCAGTCTACATTGCAGTTCAGAAAAACACCATCAATCATAGTAGTGCTGAATCAAAGCGTAGAACGGCCTTCAGGGACGTGCCTCGCGTGTTCGGAGCCAATTCAGAGATAACCTAATAGGTAAATGGGTTCTGGGCACTATCTGACCTGGCAATAGATCCACTTATTTAAGATTACACTACTTTATTGTTAATATACCTACGCTAATTCTCTAATTTATGTATAATTAGTTTAATCTCTTGCTGAGAGACAGACAAATTAGGAAAGCTGATCATCCTGGGAAAAATAGAGGGCAAAAGATCGCGTGGCCGAGCACCCTACCGGGACTGATCAGATTAGGATATCCGGCGAGCGGAAGACAGGAGTGAATGGAGGAAACTAGTTGAAACGTCTACTAAAGCGTTCCAGAATAAGGAATTATAATCGGACACGAACACGACCTTCAGTAATTGAAGACTACGACAACGAAGAAGAGTTTAATCTCAATATTTATTTATCTATAGAACCTAATCAGCCTTGCCAGCAGTCGCGTTGCTACTATTGCACATCTATGTCACCCTTATACTTACTCTCTTATCGTAATCCTGCAGGTAGTCAACTCAGAAGTAGGTAAGTACTTTATCTATCGTTAAGGTGGCGAACAACAAACGAGGACTAAGTAGACTAAGCTCCCATTGACAAAGTCTTACCTCATAAGTCTACCGATTGAAAGTATGCTATAACGATAGATCATGTTTAGGAGGTCATAACATTGTATGGGTGGCCATCCGAAATCCGGGCAGATTTTTTTTTATCCGACTTGTAAACCTTATTTTATTTCCTATAATTTCAGATTTCGGATAGCCACCCATACAATGTTATTATTACTTCCTAAACATGATCTATCATTATAGCATACTTTCAATCGGTAGACTTATGAGGTAAGAAGACTTTGTCAATGGGAGCTTAGACTTAAGTCAGACCGAGACCACAAAAGTGTTTGAACCGTGTCTTAACGTTCTCCGCTGAAGAGGCGGCACTCGGCACGGATCCCTCGACCTTCACTCTTCTCTCACCCTTACGTACTGTCTTATACTGCTCCCATTCCTTATTCGTAGGTAAGTAAGGTAAGTCTCTAGTAATAAAATATATAGTATTCCTTAGGCAATACGCGAATTCCCGGAAAATGATTAATCCATTCATCACCAGTGAACTATGACAGAAGCCTACCTAAAGTAGCTAACCATGTCATGGTCCTGGCTTACATAACCAAGACAGGGGCCCGTTCTGTCAACAATGTCAGAGGCCTGTGAACCATGTCAGATGCCTAATTAACCATGTCAACCTGCCTACTAGATTTTTTCAGGAAGATGACGCATGAATCAATGCATTTCGCCATTTTCCGGGAAATTGCGGATTTCCTGCGACATTCATACTAGGTATTATGGGGAGCTCTCTCTCAGATAATTCAATTCGTGAAATCGGGAGACTACGCAGTACGCACATGCGTGGATACAGTTCATTCACGGAATATTAGATTATGTGAGATATTAGATACAACTCACAGGAAAAATCTTTGGTGCTTTAGAGAGTCTCTCACAAGGTCTTTCAGCGTTTTGGTGAAAGGTTAAAATAAACACCGAGCGTAGCGGCGTCGTAGTGCGCCAACAACGTGACAGCGTCGTTCATAGTAGGGAGGGCGCGCCGCGGCGTGTTGTCCGGTCTTTCTGGCATCCCCATACAAACCAGTTACTTTGACGGCGCACCACGTCGCGTCAAGCTCAGTCTTTAAGGACACCTTTACACAAGTGCCGGACGATACTACTGTTCGTAGCAATCACAATACAAATAATCTGCAACAACTGTAACTGTGACAGCCACTATTTTGGTGATGTGTGGCCATCATATTTTCGTACTGTCCTTCGCTAAAACGTGTGCGAACGGCCATTACGTATTGCAAGCGTAGATAATTTGGCAATTTTCTGAATCACTTGACACTGGCTGAATTGCTCATTGGCAAAAGCCATATTTAAAAAGAGATAATTACCTCACTTACCTATGTACCTTTTGAGATAAACTCATCTCATCGGTTTTCCTACATCCTGTACAAACCGTGACTAGACACAGCCTGATCTAAATTCTTGGCTGGCCTTTCCTCGAGTCCCTTTCATCGTCAACAAACATCATTGTTAAGGGCCGTCCCAGTGGAAGCGTGTCATTAGGACTCGATTAGGGTCAACCGGGATCGATTGCACATTTCTTCACAAAGAAACATCCATTACCGTCTTACAATAAGATCGGATAGCCGACGAGACACTTCAATTAGAGCGTGATTATGAGATTTGTACTATCGCCAGCAAAACGCCTACCCATTTAAGGGACCAACTTATACTGGGTTTTCATACAAAATCAATAGGTAAAATGAAATAGCTTTTTGCGTTTCTTTGTCCGTCGTGGAATTTGCTATGCACGCAAAGGATTTTGATACTGTTGTAATAGATAGGAGTGATTTAAGAGAAAGGTTCATATGTATAACACATGCCAGGAAAATGCCTTTTCCCGCGGGAAAATGAGCTGCAGCGCGCGAAACCTCTAACGGGCCTTTGGAAAAAAATAAAATTAATTTCCTGAACAATTCACACAGCATCATCAAGCCCCGAACTAGGCAATGGGAACTAGATAATATAAGCATGTAAGAGACGCATAGCAAGGAAGTAAACAAGAGATCTTGATTTTCAATTTTACTAAGTTTTTTGTATTGTTTTTCTTGTGCTGTACGTAGTTTATCATCTATCCCATGATTAAGAAGACTCAAGTCCAGCTTAAAGTTCAATAGAAACTAAATCTCGCTGTCACTCTGTATTACTTACTTACCTAGAGATTTAATCAACAGGCTTACTCGTAATCTAGGCTGAAATCGGCAGATCTAGGCCGAATCTTCAAGGGGCTTGATCTGACGTCTCAATTTCAAGTCAAACGTCTAGATCTGGAGACGCCACTTTGAGATAAGATGCGTTTCTTTTTACCCGTCTGCCCCAGAAGGATGGTTTTGTTTTTCTGAGTATGTATGTATGTGTTTTATTTTAAATAATATAGGCCCGCTTTTGCTTGATATCTCACCTTTTGGTAAGTGATGATACAAACGATGTTGAAGCATGCTTGCCTAGATAATACCTATTCACTCTTGCCTTGAAAAGGCCCAAGTTAAAATGTAGACAAAACAAATTCTTTTTTTTTAAGGGTTACCACTCGCTAATCTAGTTGTGTTAAAATTTCATAAATTAGGGTGATGCTATTCTAAGCTGACATGGCACCCAATGAACGTGTGAAATATGAGGGACCGCGTGTATTTTTAATGTCCAATCAGATCCGAGTGGCTGGTAGCGTGTTAGGCATGCATAACTTGCGCCTCGGGGAAATATCACTTGTTTTATGTTATGATGACACTTTCCACTCGAGGTCGGGGTTGGGACGGGATGTTAGG